AGAAGCCCAGATATAATCTTCTTCGTTCTCAACACACTCATATGGGGAGAGCAATCATCCGGAGCCATTCCCTTTGGTACAATGTTTGCTCTGGTCTGTCTCTGGTTTGGAATCTCTGTTCCACTGGTCTTCATTGGCAGCTATCTCGGTTACAAGAAACCAGCAATCGAAGACCCGGTCAAAACAAACAAGATCCCGAGACAAGTACCAGAGCAACCATGGTATATGAAACCCAGGTTTTCGATACTAATTGGAGGGATCCTTCCATTTGGAGCAGTCTTCATCGAGCTCTTCTTCATATTAACATCGATCTGGCTCAACCAATTCTACTACATCTTCGGGTTCCTCTTCATAGTGTTCTTGATCTTGATCGTGACCTGCGCAGAGATCACAGTCGTCCTCTGCTACTTCCAGCTCTGCAGTGAAGACTACAACTGGTGGTGGAGAGCTTACCTAACATCAGGCTCATCCTCAGTCTACCTCTTCCTCTACTCCATCTTCTACTTCTTCACAAAGCTTGAGATCACAAAGCTCGTTTCAGGGACGCTCTACTTTGGGTACATGATCATTATCTCTTACTCGTTTTTCGTGCTAACCGGCTCAATCGGTTTCTACGCATGTTTTTGGTTTGTTAGAAAGATTTACTCCTCGGTGAAGATTGACTGATTAGATAAAATGACATTAACTTTTGATGCCTTTCGAAGGTTTTGTTGGATGGTTTAGTCGTAGTTGAAACAAAAAATTACCAAACTTATGTAATGAGTCGAAGAATGGATTCTATATTCAACAAATCATTTTCAAAGATACAGCTATAGTATCGTATAGTTTATTTTAAAACTGATAGTTTATGCTTGCCCTCCTTAATCATTTTCTCCGTCGCAGAACCACTGGAGAATCCCAGCTTCTGCATTATTTCTTCCAGTCTCTTACCGTTTGCTAGATACAAATAACCAATCTGAGAAATTGAACAGATAATTAACGAGGGTTTCAAGAGTTTAGAGCCAAAAATTTGTAATACACTTGCTGAGCTTTTAGATTATGAACAACTTACAAGTGTTTCCAATGAGGAGGCCTTGTTATAAATCGCAACACCAGCACGCCTAGTTGACCGTGTTTTAACCGAGCCTACGTTTTTCCCCCACCGAAGTATATCTCTGCACCAAAAAGTTTTCATCAGATCGATTAAACAAATCATAATATCTCCATTCATCTTTCTTTGATGGGAGATAGAGATCCCAACAAAATCCTTTTAGAGACAGTAAATAACTGGGTTTTGTAACTGACCTTTCATCTTTAGTTAAGAAATCATCATCAGCGAGCTTCTGCAGCAGAGCATACTGAAGAGGAAGACACACACAGAATAGTTTAGCTTAAACAAGAACAATGAGAACAATACTAATGCTGATCAACATGAAGTAGATGGAAGTGAGAAATAAACAACTCTGCAAAACGAATCATATTGCAAGCAAAATGCGATTCAGAAACAAACAGAGACACAACAGGTATGTGGAAGCATGAATATTGTAGCATACACAAAGAGGGTAGAAGATAGAGAAACATACTTGTGCTTCACATCGCACCACTGCTTTAACACGGTCGTTATATTCTTCAATACTAAGTGGAGGGAAAAGAAAATGCCGACGAGCATATATCTACAAAGCCAACACAAAAATGATTTTAAGTACAATAACTTGTCTAGAGTCACCAAGCACAATCTCATCATAGTGACTGTTTTAATGCTATAAACTTGTCTAGAGTCAGCAAGCACAATCTCATCATTTTGACATTCTTGAGTCCTAAACAACAAGGACTAAGTTGAATCACCTAAGAACAAACTTATTATGGAATTGAAGACTAACCTCGTAGATTGAATCGCCTATGTAAGCTAAGGAGGCAGCATTGAAGACAGACCTAGGCTTCTCCACTTTTGGTGGACTTGGGAACCATTTCTCGAATCCAATACAAGTATCATCCAATTCATCACCTATGTCTACATAAAAGCAGATATCTAGTAAGAATCTCTCTGTCTCCAAAGCCTTCGAAACAGTTCCTCACCGAAATCCGGAAAATAACCCAATTCGTTACCTTTACTTGCGGGACGTTTGAGCAAATCGGAAACGGAGACGCCAGTTTCCGCTGTTAAGTTTCTCGCCGGAGAAGATGATGACGGAGACGATGATGGCACGAAAGAGCTAGTATTAGGGTTTGTCTTGACATTTCGCGGCGCATTGGGATTGTATCGGAGTCTCGGCTGCGTATCCAAGGCAGCTCTCACGAGAGTAGAGCTTGCTGATAGAATCGCCATTTTTTTTCCTTAATTTTATGATTTCAGCTTTTTTTTTGTTTGTTTTGAAGGTAATAAATTATTGAGGCGGTGACATTCAAATATCCACGTGGCGTGTTTCGATGGTCTGTTTTACAAAATTAATATACTAGCTGACCGTAGCTTTAGCAATATGAGCTCTTGTGGCGACACCTTCGTTCTCTTTCTCTCTCCTTTCTTCCCGATTTGTAAAACCCTAACGACTAGATTTTGAGTGCCGTGACTATTTCTTTCTCAACTTCCCGATCATATTTCTCAATCGGAGAAATTGTCTCGACGGACATCATGAGTCGCTACGATAGCCGGACCGGCGATTCCACATCGTACCGTGAACGTCGAAGGTAAGTGTGTTTGCTTTTCGTATGTAAACGATGAAATAAATAGATTAGTCAGAAATTTGTTTCGACTTAGCTGCTAATCAATGCGTTTTCAATTCCCGACGGTGTGTAATTGGAGAAGAGGAGTTTGCTTCATTTTCAAAGTTGCTTGTTCTTAGTGACTCTGGGTTTGGTGGGGCTTCAACATATGGAAGCTCGGGTGGTCATACATCAAGCAAAAGGGAAAGTGATGGCAATGAATCTCCACGGAAGCCAGATTTGGATGGTTTGACTCCTTTTGAGAAGAATTTCTATGTCGAGTCACCAGCTGTTGCAGCTATGACAGAGGCACAAGTTGAGGAATATCGAAGGTTGAGGGAAATTACTGTCGAAGGTCGAGATATTCCAAAACCCGTCAAAAGTTTTCGTGATGTTGGGTTTCCTGGTAAGCTTTGACTTCCGTTTCATTAAGTTTGTGATTGGTTTCACATACATGGCCTAGGTGGATCATGTATGTCTGTTTTGTTTTTGTATATGATCTATTGATGAGAATCTCTTGATTGTCCCAGATTATGTTTTGGAAGAGATTAAGAAGGCTGGTTTTACTGAACCTACACCTATACAATCTCAGGGGTGGCCAATGGCATTGAAGGGACGTGATCTCATCGGCATTGCTGAAACTGGCTCTGGGAAGACTCTTTCTTACTTACTACCTGCAATAGTCCATGTGAATGCTCAACCAATTTTAGGTACCACCTGATATCTGCTCGTGGAGTGTTTTTTTTTTCTTTCGTTGTTATTTGATGTAAAGCTGTAAATGCGGTACTGATTTCAAATGATATTTTCACAGCTCATGGGGACGGCCCAATCGTCTTGGTTCTTGCTCCGACACGTGAACTGGCTGTTCAGATACAGCAAGAAGCGTCTAAATTTGGTTCATCATCAAAGATAAAGAGCACTTGCATTTATGGCGGAGTTCCAAAAGGGCCTCAAGTGCGTGATCTCCAGAAAGGTGAATTGCTTTGGTTCAGTTCTTTTTATGTCATTTCTCATACTATTAGTTTTTCTTACTCATAAATCATTCTGAGAGTGATTATTGGCCTATGAATTTAGGTGTGGAAATTGTTATAGCTACTCCTGGGAGGTTAATAGACATGATGGAGTCGAACAACACAAACTTGCGGAGGGTTACTTATCTTGTTTTGGATGAGGCTGATCGAATGCTGGATATGGGGTTTGATCCTCAGATCCGGAAAATTGTTTCACATGTTCGTTTTCTTACCTCTGTTTCAGTCATATATATATATATGTGTATTCTATGTTGCTTTGTCTTACAATCTGTTGAAACCTGTGCAGATTCGGCCAGACCGTCAAACTTTATATTGGAGTGCTACTTGGCCGAAGGAGGTGGAACAACTATCTAAGAAGTTTCTTTATAACCCATACAAAGTAAGAATCACCTCTCCGAGTTTTCTCATAATGGTTTAGCTGTCAACAAGAGCTGAGCAGGCATTTTTGGTCTTAAGTGCAGGTGATTATAGGATCTTCTGATTTAAAAGCTAACCGTGCAATCCGTCAAATTGTTGATGTCATTTCTGAAAGCCAAAAGTATAACAAGTACGTCTCCTTACCTAGGCTCTCCCTGCTTCTCTATCTCCTTTCACTTGTGGTGAATGGAAACTATTCTACCGATTTTTTTCAGGTTGGTGAAGTTGCTTGAAGACATAATGGATGGAAGCAGAATTCTTGTCTTCCTCGATACAAAAAAGGGCTGTGACCAAATCACTCGTCAGCTTCGCATGGATGGTTGGCCTGCTTTGTCAATACATGGTGATAAAAGTCAAGCTGAGAGAGATTGGGTTCTATCAGAGTTTAGGTCAGGCAAAAGCCCTATAATGACTGCTACAGATGTTGCAGCCCGTGGATTAGGTACTAACTCCCTTTCTCCTATGCGCGTAACACCAACTCTCTCATTAGCATGCGAGAAGCTGATAACGTCTTTTTGTTTTGAACAGACGTGAAAGATGTCAAGTATGTGATAAACTATGACTTCCCTGGATCACTAGAGGATTATGTTCACAGGATTGGAAGAACTGGTAGAGCCGGGGCCAAAGGAACAGCTTACACTTTCTTCACAGTAGCAAATGCGAGATTTGCCAAAGAGCTAATCAGCATACTACAAGAAGCTGGACAGAAAGTGAGCCCCGAATTGTCATCAATGGGTCGCAGTACCGCTCCTCCTCCTCCAGGTCAGTTAACCGCAAGCAAAGATCTTTGTCTTTTTAGTACAGTCACGGTTGCTTTCTACCTCACTAGAAAAACTTGCTTCATCACAAGATTTGCAATACTTGGTTATGTTAGAATTTAATAGGAACCTAATCAAGTTATGATCTTTTATAATCAAGTTATGCGTTTTTTTTATAAACTTTTGGTTTTTTATGAATGTGGAACAGGGCTTGGAGGATTTAGAGACCGTGGGAGTAGAAGAGGCTGGAGCTGATTCATGTATGTTTTATATTGCTTTTAGGGTTCAGTGATTTTTCTTTTCCATTTTACTCTATTGATTGCCTCTCCCTTACTCTCTTTGTTTTTCGAAGATTTGTTTGACATTTACATCATAACATTAAACATGTAAGATAACATATGGTCTGATGATCCGGATTAGGGTAAAATTTGTGGTTAAGAACAAAACCAAAAACAGACATTTTGGTAATTTAAATCCCTTTAAATTTTGACAAAGTATTTATTAATTTTAGCACAATTTTTGTTAACTAAATTGAATTTATATCATTTGAAGATAGTTATAAAATGATGATTAATGATATGCCCTAGATTTATGCAAATTTATGTGACATTTTAAACTAAATTACGAATAGGTTTGACTGGCACATATATAGAAATGATAATCCATGAAACTCCGAGTAAATGGGTTTACAAAAATGAATGTTCAAAACTAACCTGGAAAAAATCAGATATTTGATACGTTTAGCTAGTGAAACTCAGGAAAGACGGATATAATTTTATTATTGATAAGATTAAGGTCGATACAGTTTGAGAGAATGATAATAGAGTCTCTCCCTCCCCAACAACTTTGATCAAATCTTTTGATATTCTTCTAAACAAGATTCCTTCCTCTTATATACTACTCTATTATTTTCCGTTGGATCCTCCTCCACGTTACTACTCCCCTCACGTGGTTTGTTGCAACGATAAGATTCTCCCCTTAACCGTGGTTATTCTTTAACTATAATAGTAATCTCCTTGGTCAATGCCACCGCCTCACGACCTGAGATGCTAATCCTCCCATCCTCTTACTCCCCACTTACTTGGGCCTTCTTCCTTCGCGAGTACTGATAAAGAATTGGTGGCCCTTGGGCCTCACAGCTAACATTACCCCGCCCTTTGAGACCGACCTTGTCCTCAAGGTCAAGGGAGGGAAACTGCCTCTTCATTGTACTGACCCATTCCCAAGTACACTCAAATTCCGGCAACCCCTTCCACTTAACCAAAACTTCCTGCTGTCCTGTTTCGTTGTTCACATGCGAGTCCAAAACCGCCTCTGGTTCAGCTTCCAACACTCCTTCCTCAGTGAGTTGAGGAGGAATCGAGACTGGAATTAGCGACGACCCCACTGCCTTCTTCAGCTGCGACACATGGAATGTAGGATGGATCCGAGCCTCCGATGGCAGCTTAAGACGATAGGCCACCTTCCCCACCTTGCTTTCGATCGTGTAAGGACCGTAATACCGAGCCGCCAACTTTTCATTCGGTCTCCGGGCCAACGTCTGTCGGCGGTATGGCCGCATTTTCAAATACACAGAGTCTACGACCTCAAACTCCACCTCTCTGCGATGCCCATCCGCCCTCTGTTTCATCACCTGTTGAGCCTTATGTAGGTGCTCCTTCAAAACGGCTAACATGTCATCCCTCTCCTTCAACTGTTCCTCCAAACTCGCATTGGTCGTGGATCCATTCTCGTATCGCAGCAGCACAGGTGGCTCTCGCCCGTAGAGAGCTTGAAACGGCGTCATGCGGATCGAAGAATGGAACGACGAGTTGTAACTCAGCTCTGCCTATGGAAGAAATTTGGCCCACGTTTTTGGTTTCTCGCTTGCGTAGCACCGCAGATACGTCTCCAGACCCCTATTGGTCACCTCCGTCTGCCCGTCGGATTGCGGATGGTACGCGGTGCTGAAGCACAAACTGGTACCTGCGAGTCGGAAGAGTTCTTTCCAGAACGCGCTCGTGAACACCTTGTCCCTGTCCGATACAATGGAGCGAGGGAACCCGTGAATCTTGATAACCCCCTGCACGAATATTATAGCCACATCGGTCGCCGTGAAAGGGTGCTTCAACTTGATGAAGTGGGCATACTTTGTCAGGCGGTCTACTACTACCAACACCGCATTGTACCCTCCAGATTTGGGCATCCCTTCCACGAAATCCATTGAGATGTCGTCCCATATCTTGGTCGGAATCGGTAGTGGCTGCAAGAGCCCACCAGGAGCTAAGGTTGCATACTTCTGTCTTTGACATACCTGACAACCTGCCACATACTGCCTTATGTCCCCGAGCATCCCCTCCCAGTAAAACGCTTCTCCAATCCTCTTCTGAGTTTTCAACACTCCTCCGTGACCACCCATTTTCCCATCATGGTATTCCTGCAAAATGAGACCAACCAGCTTCGACCCTTTTGGCACCACCAATCTACCCCTCCGTAGTAATCTCCCCTGCACTACAGAGTAGTCGGGCTGAGCTCCTGGGTTTCTGTTACACTCCTCCATGATGTTCCTCAACTCCTGGTCTTTATCCACCTCGCTACATATTTCTTCCAACTGCATTGCTGCGGGAATTGACAATGACATCAGTTTCGACACACCTCGACTGGACAAGGCATCGGCTGCTCGATTCTCCAATCCGGGCTTGTAGTGTATATCAAAGTCGAACCCCAGCAACTTCGACATCCATCGGTGGTACTCCATATTGATCTCCCTTTGCTCTAGCAGAAATTTAAGGCTCTTCTGATCCGTACGCACCAAAAATTTTCTCCCCAAAAGGTAGTGTCGCCATTTCTGTATAGCGAATACAATGGCCATCAACTCCCTTTCGTAAACTGACTTCAACTTCTGCCTCTCTGTCAAGGCTTGGCTGAAGTATGCAATAGGTCGGTGGTTCTGCATGAGCACCGCCCCCAAGCCGATTCTCGAAGCGTCCGACTCCACAATGAAGAGAGCGGTGAAGTCAGGCAGAGCCAACACCGGCACCGAGGTCATGGCTGCCTTCAGAGCGTTGAAGGCTTCGGTAGCGGCCTCCTCCCACTTGAAATTGTCTTTTTTAAGCAGCTCAGTGAGTGGCCTCGCTACAGCGCCATATCCCTGCACGAACTTTCGATAGTACCCTGTCAACCTGAGGAAGCCTCTCAGCTCCTTCACATTCCTCGGTTAAGGCCAGCTGGTCATATCTTGAATCTTACTCGAATCGGCAGCCACACCTTCCTGCGATATAATATGTCCGAGGTACTCAATCTTCCCACTTCCGAATTGACATTTCTTTCGGTTTGCATACAGCCTCTGTTCGGAGAGCACTTCCAGCACCACTCTCAGATGCCCCACATGATCCTGCATCGAACGGCTGTATACTAAAATGTCGTCGAAAAACACCAGAACAAACTTACGAAGATAGCGTCGGAAAACATCATTCATCAGGGACTGGAAAGTGGCCGGGGCGTTGGAGAGCCCGAAGGGCATAACCAAGAATTCATAGTGCCCATCATGCGTCCTGAAAGCTGTTTTCTGCACGTCTTCTGCTTGTACCAAAATCTGGTGATAGCCTGATCGGAGATCTAGCTTCGAGAACACCACCGCACCTTGTAGTTCGTCAAGAAGCTGATCAATCATCGGAATCGGGTACGAATCTGTTACCGTTGATTTTTTCAATGCGCGATAATCAACGCAAAAACGCCAACTCCCGTCCTTCTTCTTCACCAACAACACCGGGCTCGAGAACGGGCTCCCACTATCTCTGATGATACCCGCGGCTAACATGGCTGAGACCTGCTTCTCAATCTCAGCCTTCTGCGCTTGCAGATACCTTAATGGCCGTACGCTCACCGGTCTCGCTCCTTCTTCCAACGTGATAGCGTGTTCCTTGCCCCTCGACGGTGGTAACCCCTTGGGCTCGTCGAAGACATGTTCATATTCTGCCAATACCGCCTGCAACTCTCCCGGAGGTGAGGGCAGAACTGTACCATCTTCGATTTGGAGGCCCCCGAACTCCACCAGAACGCCTTCTCCATGTTCCCAAGTGTTTTCCACAACGCTTTGAGTGAGATTGCAGCGCTGCAGAGACTGGGATCCCCTTGCAACGTGATTTTAACGCCGTTCAGCTTAAACTGGAAAATCTGTAACTTCCAGTTCACCTTAGTCACCCCTAACGTGTCCAACCACTGGATCCCCAATATTACATCCGCGCTTCCGAGCTCGAGGGGTAAAAAACTTGTTGTAACTGAGTACCCCTGCATCTGCAGCTCCACTCCCTTACACAGTCCTTTACCTCTCGCCGTAATACCGGTTCCGGTGATGACCCCATACCCATAGGTCACCTCGGTGTCCAGATTGAGTTTCCGTACCATCTTCTCGGACAAAAAGTTATGGGAGGCGCCGCTATCTATGAGCACCACGACGTCCTCCGAACTAATCCTCCCCATCAGCTTGATGGTTCGCGGAGAGGAGATACCGACCATCGAATTGAGGGATAACTCTGCCAACTCGGTAACCTCCGTCCCCTTCCCCTCCAGCTCGTCTTCCAATTCGTCAATCCACTCTTCCTCAGTGCCATCCTCCTGTACCACCAAAATCCGAAGCTCAGGCACCCGACATACATGGTTACCGTGGAACTTCTCGTCGCACCTGAAGCACAAACCCTCAGCCTTCCATTTGGCGATCTCTGCCGCCGTCAACCGCCGGAAAGGAGGCTTGAGTCGATTGTGTGGCTTCACAGGTGGCCCCCGATGCGTCGTCGTATTCTTGGCTGGGCTTGTTGGGAACCTGGCCTTGAATGAAACAGGCCCATTTCCCAACCCCAGGCCCATGGTGTGCTGTTGAGCTCGGCCGCCGTCAGATCGAGAAACTCGTGTCCCTCCTCCTGACTGGTTTCCCGGGGACGACTCCTGTTCGACCCATTCTTCCACTATCTTCGCGACACTCATCATCTTCTTCAGTGTTCGCGGCTAAAACATCTTCACCCCTGCTCGGATTTTGGGCTTCAGTCCGATGATGAACGCCATCTCCAGCACTGATTCTGGGATCTCCGGTGCGTTCCTGGCTAGCAAAATGAAATCGCGGCTGTATTCTCGCACCGTTCCCTCCTGTCGGAGAGTCAGAAACCTTTCGCCGACACTCGTGTCATGGGTGACCGCGAACTGCTCCAACACCCGGTACCTCAGCTGTTCCCAGTCCGAAAAGGGGCTCCGTTTCCTCTCCCACCGATACCATAGGAGTGCCTCGCCGGTAAAACACATTCGAACTGCCTTCAGTTTCTCCTCCTCCGTGAAGTGGCTCAGCTCGAAATATTGTTCCACCCGAAGCAACCAGCTCTCCGCGTCGTCTCCGTCAAATAGCGGTATCTCAATCCGCCGCGTGAGAGGTGTGTTCTGTTCCTCCGTCATCTTCGTCTGCACCGTTCGGTCAGGGGTGCAAGCGACTTCCTTCCCCGTTCCCCCGCTCGCGGGATCCTTGATCGTAGGTGTCCCGATCGGGTCAGCGATCATGACCGACTCCGAGGTCTCTGCTTCGCGACGTTTCTTAACATCGTCTTCCTCCAACCAACGCTGACCTATCCGCTCCAACATCGCCTTCATCTCTCCCATACAGCTCATCTGCTGTCGAATCTCTTCCACACTCTTCTCCAGGGCAGCGATCTTCTCACCCTCCATCTGTAAGTTCTCCAAAGCCTTCTCCGCGTCAGCTCTCTTCGGTGGCATTTTGAGATCCCGAGATCGAGGTGCTCTGATACCAAATTTGATACGTTTAGCTAGTGAAACTCAGGAAAGACGGATATAACTTTATTATTGATAAGATCAAGGTCGATACAGTTTGAGAGAATGATAATAGAGTCTCTCCCTCCCCAACAACTTTGATTAAATCTTTTGATACCCTTCTAAACAAGATTCCTTCCTCTTATATACTACTCTACTACTTTCCGTTGGATCCTCCTCCACGTCACTACTCCCCTCACGTGGTTTGTTGCAACGATAAGATTCTCCCCTTAACCGTGGTTATTCCTTAACTATAATAGTAATCTCCTTGGTCAATGCCACCGCCTCACGACCTGAAATGCTAATCCTCCCATCCTCTTACTCCCCACTTACTTGGGCTTTCTTCCTTCGCGAGTACTGATACAGAATTGGTGGCCCTTGGGCCTCACAGCTAACAATATTCTAATGCGAAAACAAAAAAGCATATTATACTTTGAAAAGCCCTAATATATTAGCCCATGACAAGTAGATGAAACGAGACACTTGCACAGAAGTAAAAAAATTCTCTTGTTTGCTCGACGAATCGAAATCGCCATGAGTGAAGAAGGTCCCAAGCTTTACACCAATAAACCCAAGAAGAAGGGTAAGAAATTTAAATAAACCTTCATAATGTTTTTTTTTTTCTCTCCGATTAAACAAATAGAAGCTGTCCCTATTTCCCAGCTCACTCAACGAATCATTCACGGTTGGATTTATATGATTGACTTGTGATCTCGTTTCGATTGTGATCTGAACCAGACATTATTGCTCAGCTGAAGCACGTCGAGGCTAATTTCAAGAATCCCACCGGACCTCCATCATCAGCACCGTCTCCGGCTGCAGCTGCGGCGGCTTCGTATACGATGGGTGGTTCTGTTCCTCCTCCTCCTCCGCCTCCTAAGGAATCGTTCGCTCGAAGGTATAAATTTGTCTGGCCGCTTCTCCTCACCGTCAATCTCGCCGTCGGAGGTAATCAAAGCGTTTTACTGATTCCGAATTTTGTGTGGGATGTTCGAGTTAGGGTAAGATTTGCTGGTTTTGAGGATTTCGAATAGAATCATTGGACCTTAGAATCATAAGGGTTTTGATCAGGCACAAAGCTTGGACCTGGAGATCTGCTTCAGATTACATGTTCTGCTATGAGTTTTTGAGTAGTTGCTTGATAGATTTTTGTAATCTTAGAGTCTATTTGTTTACTGTTGACTCTGAGGTGTTTATCTAACTGGATTACAGGACTTTGCTCATCTTTTTACATTCTTTAGATGCAAACCTTAGCTCTTGAAATCTATATAGCCTAGGACTGTGTGTGATGTTTAAAGTTATAATCTTTGCATTTAATTTCGGAAACTACATTCACAGAAAGACACACTCACTGGTGGTTCTTGGCCTTGTTGCTTTTGCAGGATACCTTTTCTTTAGGACTAAGAAAAAGGACATAGATCCTGAAAATGAAGAGATAGCTGCTAAATCAGGTTCAGTCGCAGCGGCTCCTGTTAGCATTGAAAAGCCTGTGTCTTCCACAGTGGTTGCAGAGCCAGTGGTGGTCAAGGCACGTGAGCCAATACCGGAGAAGCAGCAACGTGAGCTCTTCAAATGGATGTTGGATGAGAAAAGGAAAGTCATCCCGAAAAACGCAGAAGAGAAGAAGCGGAATGATGAAGAAAAAGCGATTCTGAAACAATTCATAGGATCCAAAACCATTCCTACTCTCTGATTAAAAAGTTCAGCTACTGTTGATTTGGTTTCAGTTCTTATTCTTGTGGATATCAAATGTTTTGCTTTTGGAAAGAAAAAAAATTAGTCTTGATGTTGAAACCAGTAACTTTGGAATCTTAGTTTCATTCATCCTTGCATTGATCCAGTGTTGGGTCTTGTGTTTCTGTGGATGGGAAGTTTTCCCCATGGTTTTAGCCTTTTAGGAGTAAAAAAAAAATCTTCGTTTTCACCTATTTTTACTATGTTTTTTCACTTTTTTGGTAGAACAAAAGTTCCTATCTCTTTTTTTCTGATTGGTAAGGAGGGGCAAAAATTTCTTTATTTCCGATGGAAAAGGTTACACAATGAGAGTGGGGAAAACAAAAATGAAAAGCAAAGAAATACAAAGGGAAATAACAAGCAAAGGCTATATTGTTTTACAAGTTACTGTTAGAAAAATTGATCGACAAAACCAAAAAAAAAAACAAAAAACCACTCGACCAGAGTTTGGAAACAAAAAGCCCAATAAACTTTAAAAACGTTCAACACGACGTCGTTCACGGCGCAGACAGGTTTTAACTTTTAACCTTGTTCTCTCTCCAATAGAGAGACTTCAGAAGCAAGTTGAAGAAATAAGGTAGAAGACGATATCCGCACAAGAGAAGAGGTTTGGACTCTTTTTCCTTTTTCTTTTTTTAATTGTGTCTCCTGGTATTTCACAATATCATTCTCTATTTTATCCTCTTTCAATCTTCAATACCCAACTTAATTTGCTGCTGATAGATACGATATATATATGATCAATTGTCGATCTGCTGAAGCTGCGATCATTGCAATTTAAAATTTATCTATATAGGTTATACGTATAGATCGAATTTTCTTCTGTTAATCTTGTAATACCATAAAATATATTTCTTACTTGAGCAGACGCATGATTCTGGAGAAACATTTCTTGTACAATTTGCAGTGGAAGTGTTGTTTTATGGTTCAATTTGTTTCGTGAAAGTGACATTGATAGTTTTTGTTTTGTGGATTCGAGTCCTGACATTCAAACTTGTTTCTCTCTATTGGGTATTTGTGAAATTTTGCTTTTTTTTTGCTCTGTAATTGAGGTGTTTCTTTTTCTCAGAAGGTCAATCTGAATGTCTGGAAGAAACCGAATTCACCGAGAGCTTCGAGACAGTTTTCATGATCGTCGTGGTTTTTCTCCGGAGAGACCCTTTCTACGAGTCCCTCCGTTGTTACAGCCTCCACCTCCATCTTTGTTGGAAGATCTTCAAATACAGGACGTTGAAATTAGAAGGCTTTTAAATGATAATCGTAGATTAGCTGAGGACCGAGGGCTTCTTGAACGTGAACTCAGTGCTGCCAAGGAAGAGCTTCACCGAATGAACCTCATGATTTCTGATCTTCGTGCTGAGCAAGATCTTCAATCCAGGGAGTTCAGTGAGAAAAGGCATAAACTTGAGGTAGATATTCGTGCTATGGAGTCCTATAAGAAGGAGGCTTCACAGCTGCGTGGTGAAGTTCAGAAGCTAACTGACATCAAACGAGATTAAGTGGAGATGTTCAGATACTTAGGAAAGATTTGGTAAAATTGCATCAGATACAGCAGATTCAGGTTTGAGAGCTGAGGTTAAAGACTTGCAGAGGAGCTTATGCACGCTAGGTATAATATTGAACTCATTCTATCATTAGTTTTTTTAGTTTATATTTTAATGCCTCAATATCTGGTTTCGGTCTTTAATGCTAAAGGGGAGTTTTTACTTTTCTTTTGGAACAGAGGTGCACTTGACTATGAAAAGAAGGAAAAGTTTGAGCTTATGGAGCAGCGGCAGACAATGGAAAAGAACATGGTTTCTATGGCGCGTGAAGTTGAAAAGCTACGAGCAGAACTTGCTACTGTTGATAGTAGGCCATGGGGTTTTGGTATGATCCTAGATCTTTCTTGGAAACATTTGGTGTTATGATTAAGTCGCTAACTGCTTTGTTGTGTCATATGTTATGTGTCCAGGAGGATCGTATGGGATGAATTACAACAATATGGATGGCGCTTTCCGTGGTTCTTATGGAGAAAACGATAGTTTTTTGGTACCAATGTTTACATGCTTTTGTAATTTGATCTATTCTCGTGGGCTTGAACTTGACACGCCGGTATTCTTTTTCCTTTTTTCTTAGGGATCTTCGGAAAGGAGCCAATACTATAGCCATGGGTCTGGCTCGCAGAAGAAACCTCGTTTGGATCGTCATTGAATTGTATAAATGATCTGTGGAAAAAGAATGAGGTGAGTCTGAATAGCCCACTTTGTAACACTCATCTGGTTGTTTGTGGGGTATCCATCTACTCTAAATCTAAATGTTAGCTCCTCTGCTCTCTAAATAAGGCATTTTAATTATTTAAGTTAGATGGCTAAACTATGTCGTATGTTACTACAAATTGACGATTTTGGTTTTTCCTGTTTCATATTAGCTATGCCTTATTATCCTTCTTTTTCTCCTGCTCCCATTCTTTACACTCTGGTTTTGATTATTTGATAAGATAATCTCTATAGAAACCAGAGGAGTATGCACCAGTAAGTTTGAGAAATCAAACTGGCACTAACAAAAGGAGGGAGATCTACCCCTCCCTGGGCTTCAAACCCACAGTTCTTTCTTCCTTCTCGTATATTTAAAATTATAAATATCTGGTGAGCTAACACCTTTCTAAGGGGTTAGAGGCTTTGGTTACTTGGATTAAAGAGAGATTTGAGCGGAAGTTGTTGTTTCTGGCCACACATTTGGAGAATTTCTCGAGTTGCAATTGCTTGTTGCTGGAAGCTAAAAGAGATAGCATTATCACGGACATTGTTTTTGTGTGATGGTGTTAGGTATGTTTCTACTAGATATTAGGTATATATAGGAGAAACTCAGTTAAGATGAAGTGGAAACATTGGAAGGCCATCCGTTTCTACATTGTGCCAGGAAGCAGCGTTTTCTCATTGAAATTTACTGAGCTTGCTTGTTCAAGGTCATTTCCGTAGTGTCAATGCTGATTTAATTAAGAAAGGGAACAAGGCACAATGAACTATTGGAGGAACAGAGACATATTGATCCTCTATAGCTATCTAAGCATGATGATTAGACGTCCTTCTGGAATCAGGCCAATAAACTTGCATCAGCACCAGAAAAAGCCATTTTTTGAGGGTCATATGGATCAATATGAGCGGATCTTTCTCTCGGGGAAAACTTCGATAAGGATTTTTTGAGCAAGGTCTTCCATTGAAGCGATCAGCAATTCAGCATCCTTACTGAATCAAAGTGCCGTAAGTGGTCTTGGACTTGGTCGGAGTTGCAGGACCCTACTACCCACTGCCCATGTTCAATCTACCATCAGAAACCTCGTGTGTCATTAGGTGTACCACATATTTCACGCTTCGAACGAATGGAAGAACGCTGATAAGGAGCTGATGCATTTTCTGATGGGTGGCTGAATCTCAGTTTCATAGATTGAATATCGATTCTGAAACAACATAAAATGAGGCTGGGTGTTAGGAGGCCGGGTGAAGATTGTAACTCATGGATGACAGATGAATCTATAGAAGACAAATCAAAGCGACTTTCATGGAGTTAGTTCATCAGAGACATAGCAAGTAAGATAGGATTTACGGTGGTGCCATCTATATATATCTACTGTTTTTGGGTCCTTGAAGAGGTTAACACATCTGTCTTTGAGGAGGCACAAGCCACAAGCTGCATTATTGGAATGTCAGCAAGTTTGGCTTACTCAGTAGCAACTTTATCTAGAAGAAAGCTATATCCTCAAAGTACCTTCTCCCTCTCCAATGAGTTATTTTGCCTTCAGATAAAGGAACTTTTCTATATATCAAGAGATTATCAGTGGTCTTGTTGTTGGTTATGTTGATGCTAAATCAGTTTTCCGGGTATGCACTTTCCAAGGATGTTGATGTGCCTTACGGAAAAAGATCTTCCTACGAGTCAGGACAGGAGACAGGTATATGATCTTTCCAAGAAAACTTTCCTTACGGGGAAGTTTATATATTTACTTTCTGGTTATAACTGCTAGAGGTTAGCTGCCGTTTTGTTTGGCATATAGGTGGTTCATATATGTCTTAAAAATTTTGCATGTAACAGACTCATTGTTTCTTGATTATGGTATGCATCATTAGTTTTGCCACTTAGACTTTGGATTCTCTTTAGAGTTTTGGCAATGGAGGTGGAATCAGTCATTTTGTTTCTTGGAGGATTTGTGAGATTAGCCTAGATTTCACACTAGGATGTTGATAGAAATGGATTGCTGGACTGATGGAGAAGTAGCTGTTCTTGAAGATGGTTCACTACACGTCATTTTGTTTCTTGGAGGATTTGTGAGACTAGCCTAGATTTCACACTAGAATGTTGATAGAAATAGATTGCTAGACTGATGAAGAAGTAGCTGTTCTTAATGATGGTTCACTACATGGATTTCTGGTGTTGCATGGAAGCAAAAAAATTTAGAATCGACTGGACCGGATTATCTTAACCACGTTAACTTTCTGGAGGCTGCAAGAGATCTATGGATTAGAATAAAGGCAAAGCTTTTGTAGATAGGAAAGAGATAGGATCAGCTCACTTAAAACATGAGTTGACTGCTACTGCTGTAGTTTTAAGCTTTGAGGCTTCACATTGATCTGAAATTAGATCGGTCTAGGTTTGATCAGGATGAAAGGTTATAGCCGGTATAAATATAGAGATACTTAGTTTACTAAAGAGTCTGAGAACTTTCCAGCTTAAGAGTGAGTTAGAAACAACTTACATCTTCAGAGAATTGTCCTCTTGTGTCCTTATCAAGGTCAGATTGAACAGTATACTCTGCAGATCAGCAGAATGTAGAGGAAGAACGGAGTTGGTCCCCTAGATCTGCAAGAAGTTCGGTACAGCGCTAAAAAGTAAAAGCTTCCAATAGTGAATCGTCTTGGATTGATACACAGCGCAAAAAAGAGAGATTTTTTCCCAGCCATAAGCCCTTAGATGAGCTTGGACACGAAATAGGAAAACAAAAGGTTCCTCACAAGCTGAGGCTCCATACCAGTTTACCTTTAGACATAGATGTAGAGATACTTGGTCTGTTATGTCAAGTAGCACTAAATGCTTTGCACAAATTTCGCTATTAAAAAAGCTATTCTTGGTTTATACAGGCTTTGATTATTCTTCTGCTTGTTGCAGGCAACAAAGCCTGAAAAAAGACAACACCCAAGACATCATCTACTAACTGGAACTGACAAAGGAACCAGAGTGTGGGTTATAAGAGAAAGCAGTAAGTAAGGTAATTACTAAAAACATCCTCTCATAATAAATATCAATATGTACTTATCATCATCATCAACAAGTTGAATGTTATTTTATACATATATACGATCTGATTCTGACTTTTTCTTTCAGGTTGTGAGAACCGGAGGCAACATCTTGGACCTCTTTCCTTTCACCAACGTCTTGGTATCAGGGAATATTCCGTCGCCGACTTCCTCAACCGCACCATCTCTGGCCACACTAATTGGGTACGCAACCAAATGGACACCGTTCATGTCCACGACCTTGTCTCCGCTATAAATCTCCCACATCTTCTCCCCAATTGTCCGCAACCCTCGAACGCATTCCAAACTCTCTGGCTCCGTCAAGGATAACTCATCCACTGTGATCTGGCCACCGGTATGCTCGTACCAGAGCGATAACCGGTAAGCTCTGATCTCGTTGGTGTTCTTTGTATCGGTTTGGTGGCAACCAATTACAATCTCCGTGTCACGACAACCATCCATCGATCTCTGGTTTATATTGGCAGATCCTACCAAAACGTATGCGTCGTCCACTACAAAAACAACATACAACAACAATCTCTTTTATTCTAAACCTTCATGGAAAAATCTTCAATTTTCATTTCAGATCAGGAGTTTAACCTATCATGATCTTGGAGTGGACATAGACCATGAATCTCCGGTTCCTCTGCGCATTCCAATAATGCGTCCTGTGATGCGGCGACGAAACTGCTTCATGCTCTCCATCTCTCTTCTCTTCTCTGTTTGCGAGACAGAAGAAGTTTAGATAATCTCTCGGATGCGATCCGTTTCCACTTTCCCATATAGCCTCTCCGATGATCCGATACATCATTGACATGGTCTCTCGCGTCCAGTGAAGCATCTCTTGAACCGTTTCGCTCTCCGGTGGCCCTTCTGGCCACATTGGTATCACTATGTACACTGCAAATCTCTCCTTCTCTCGTATCTTTGCTGCAATCTTTAACGCTATCTCTACCGGTATCAAGTTTGTGCATCCGCTTTCGAACCTATCGTTGTTCTTGTTCTCCCAGTGGTCACAGCTCCCCATGAAATACTGATTCTCAATGTATATAAACCTCTCTGCCTTTCGAATCGCTTCAACGTAGCCGTCGTGTACACTCTTCTCTACCGGTAAGCCTCTAGGCATCTCCGTTGCTGACACGTGGTCTATCGATCTCAGAACTTGAACATTCCAATTCCGGTTATCTTCTTCTGTGGTTGTTCGGTTTACCAAGTTTCTGATCCCTGAAGTGTTGACCAACACCGAAGGGTTACACTGTTTCGTCCATCTCTGCTCAAAATTCTTCAATACATCCCATGCCGCAGCTCCTACAACGCACACGTGACAATCGTGCCACGGCTCTCTTGGTCCGCCTCTACTTTGCTTAGCTCCGGCCACGCTTGTCTGATAAAAATCTTCCCTTGTCCCGAGTGTACGGAATAGAGAATGCTCCTCTGTGTCGTACCGGCCATCGCAAAGGTCGAAACCGCCAAGGAAGCTCATGATCTCTCGCTCCTTGGTGTTCGTATTCGTAACTCGTGTGTCCACTGTGATCGTCTTTTGGTGGTGAGCGAACGCCGTAGGGAGTTTCTTGTGCGATCTTGGACACAATCTACAAACAACATTGGTGTCTCTGAAATAAGCAAAAGCTGTTTGGTCGTTTGTTCGCATCAGACCTTTGTTCTTGATCATCGGTAAAGATGTCTCGTCGTTCCACAGCATTACTCTCACCGCTACACCTTCGTGTGCTTTCCGTTTCAGAAGCTCGCCGATAGTTACTCCCACTGCGTGCGGAATCTCTGTCTCGTCGTCGCGTACGAGAACGAGGTTAGGGTTTAATGCCCATCCTGCAATGTAAACTAAGTGCCTAGCGCATTCAATCGCTTTGTAAACATCTTCCCAAAGATTTCTTGCGTTACAAGAAACATCATGAACCCTAGGATCAAACGTTGCTCTGTGGTGCGCATCTTGATACAGTACGACTCTGCAATTCGATCTCTGAGGGAAGCTGGCATTTCTAATACCCTGAAAAGACTGCCCTTCGAGCGATTTGCACCATCCCGGTTCGAGATAAGCCGGTCTGAACCACATCAGAAACTTGAGCTTTAAGTTCGGTTTCGTTGATCCATTGTCTGTGCACAGAGGGAAGAACCCATTTATAACTGCTGGATCAGAAGTCAGAATCTGTTCTGCAGAGATCCGGAATCTTCCGAGAACAGAACACTGAGTCTTGAGCGTGATGGTGATTGTCGTGTCAGAAACCGGGTGTGCGCAGAGGATCTGAAAAGTCTGGTTCCAGACACGGTCGTGCTCTGAGCTTGTTTTAGCAACTTTCTTCTTGTTTATCTTGATGGTCACGTAAGCTGATCTTGGCTTCGTATATATACACTGTGAATGAGAAAGAAAATAGCTCATGAGAATTAACGCAATATTGATATCATCATCAACAACAATATTCATACTTACATTGAAAGGAAATGTAGGAGAAAAAGGTGTTGCATCGAAGATTGTTATCTCGAGTGTTCCATGAAAGAACTTCTTCTGATCTTCAAGCTCCATCTTCTCTTTGTACAAAATAGACCTTCAAAGAGAATGAGAGAAAAGTTTCTGCGAATCTGAAATGTGTTTGAAGCTGGGTCAATTAATACATTATGCACAAGGATGTGTCCATGTATATATATATATATATATACATACTTATTATATATTTTTTTGGTAAAACTTGTAGGATTCTCCATGGACAATCTTAAAGAAAACATCCAAACGTTTATATGAAAAGAATTGAAGGTGAAGTGTCTTGGAATACAAATCAAGCATTCGACTTTGAGTTAACACTATCAATATTAAAGGCAAAGTATTAGAGTGTATCCAAATATAAGTTTTAGGATATAATGACGATATTATGAAAATGTATGGTGGTCTTTGTAAATATTATCCGGTAAGCCACGTGTAGCAATAAAGCGATGCCTGGAAAACCACTTTGGGACCCAATATAATACGCTCGGTGGGCTGATTATAAAAATAGTCCATGTAATTAATATCAGAACGGATATAGCATATATGTATTTATTTGGTTATATAATCTACATTTATCTATATGTGACATTTATGCCAGCACCATAGAGACTGAGCAATATGTAGATAAACAAAAAAAACTTTATAACTTTATATAATCTACATTTATCTATATATAGCATATATGTATTTATTTGGTTATATAATCTCTCTCTCGCTCTCTGCCAAATCTCAGAGGCGCGTCAACGAAAATGACGAACTACGGCGCGATTCCGACGTCGTCACATCCATCGCCGGCGGTGGAACTCGAGTACATCTCACGCGCAAAACACCGCATCAAATCCGGTCTGGCCACGCGCCGCCCATGGAAATCGATGTTCGATCTCAAATCCATGAATCTCCCTCACGGTTTCTTCGACGCGATCTCGAGGATCAAGACGAATCTCGGCTATTTCAGAGCTAATTACGCCATCGGCGTCCTCGTCGTCCTCTTCCTTAGCCTTCTCTATCACCCTACCTCTCTCCTCGTCTTAGCCATCTTGGTCGTCTTCTGGATCTTCCTCTATTTCCTCCGCGACGAGCCTCTCATGGTTTTCGGTCATCAGATCGATGATCGGACGGTCATGATCGGTCTCTCGATTTTGACCGTCGGTTTGCTTTTGTTTACCCACGCGACGGCGAATATCCTCGGTTCGCTGTTAACCGCCGCCGTGTTGGTTCTGGTCCACGCGGCGGTTAGAAGGAGTGACAATCTCTTCCTTGACGAGGACGCTGCGGCGGCTACTGAAACTTCAGGGCTGACGTCATACCCTTCGTCATAAACCCAACTAAATTTGATGATTATTCCAATTTGTGTCTTCTTTTGTATCTTACTCTCTGGGTGTGATTGAGAAACTTGAAAACGTTCTGTACTTTGCTTAATTTTTTGAAAGTGAAAGCTTAACATAACTTTGCTCTCTTTTTTTCCTTCTTATATATGTTTTGTTGGTTAATTACTTAACAGTGAGAAAACTTTAAACACTAATCCTCTAGATAAATCCACTAAAACTAATAATCACCAATTAAGAGGACTTGATTATACAAAATCCTTCTATTCATCCTACGCACTGCTGTACAGAAACAAAAAAAAAACGGAGAGATTAAATTCATTTCCTAAGGAGCAAAAAAAATTACAGAGTAAAACAACTCTTCCTTGAGCTTTCTCTCAATTAGCTACTTCATCTTTAGTTCTGATCTCTGGCTTCTCTCAATCGATAATCTTCCACTAAACCTTCCCGGAATTTCATTCACTACCATATCTCCTTCCAGTAAACGCAGCACCTTCAAAAAAAAAAAAAAAAAAACTGTCTGAGAAAGTGTACATTATTTGACTTGAAGAATGAACATATGTTTCAGGAATGGTGATTTTGTTTACCTGAGACATACGAGGACGCAAATGTGGATCTCTGCGTATACACAATGAAGCTGTATGAATCATACAAATGATTTCGGTTTCTGAATATCTCTTCTCCAGCCTCGGATCAACCAATTCTTCCACCGCATACTCTTCTAATAGAGACCTTGCCTGCTCACAAAACAAGATGAGCTTAAAAAGAGGAAACTTTTGGATGAGCTTTTATGGAATCTTTAAAAAGAAGAAACCTTTCAAGATTTCATTATTACCCATTCAGTTAAACATTGTTGTCCTTTTGGTCTGAAGATATCCATGGCTTTACGACCCGTGATTAGCTCAATCAATACAACCCCAAACGAGTAAACATCAGCTTTCTCTGTGATTTGCCCACTTTGAGTATATTCTGGAGCTAAATAGCTAAACAAACCAAACACAGTAAGTCATTGAGGAATTGTAGAATGCTTTATGATGATTTCTTTACTTATACACTTTTCTACCCGAAAGTTCCTATCACGCGCGTGTCTACACCGAGCTCTCCATCAGGCTGCCACCGCGCTAAACCAAAATCTCCAACCTTTCAGAACAATAGACCAGAATTTTAGTAAATATATGAATCAAAAGTGTAAACTTTCTTCACTGTAGTGGCCATTTATAAAAGGGATACCAGTGGTTCGTAATCATGAGTGATTAGTATATTGTTAGGCCGCATGTCTCTGTGAACAATGCAACCCACTCTGCATTCTTCATGAAGATATCGAAGGCCTCGAGCCGCACCAACCGCTATTTTCTGCCTTGCAGGCCATCCCAAGGTGTCTTTATGGCGACCTGAATGAACATTTCATGGAAGTTAGTTAAGAGTTTGCTAATTTAACTAACTAGGAATCTAGATAAAGATTTTACCGTATAGATGAGAGTCTAATGATCCATTGCATATGTATTCATAGACCAAGAGTCTTCTGCTTTCTTCGATGCAGAAACCGATTAACATAACTACGTTTCTATGCTGAGCACAGCTCAAAACCTCTACTTCAGAGCAAAACTCTACATCTCCTTGAGTACTAGCTACTTTGTGTTGCTTTACTGCTACAACCTGGCCTTCGCGTAATACACCTCGATGAACAGATCCAAATCCTCCTTCTGCCAAGAAATTAGACTGTGAAAACCCATTTGTTGCATGCTCTAACTCTCTGTAAGAGAAAAACCTCGGTGGTTTTCCAAACACAGGCGCTTTGTGCTGGCAGACAGAACATAGAGGAGGTGGAACAGGAAGAGCACTTCGTGCTAGCGAGATTGCTTCTCTTAAGTTTCCACTAAACTCCTCCAAGTCATCTTCTGAATCAGAACTGGAATCATCCTCTTTGATGACTAAAGCTTCATCCTTTTTCACTTCCACTATGAAAAGAGGCGATGATGTCCCGTGGTCAGAGCTAGCCACTGATGAAGTCCCAGCTTCTGTGCCTGTGAATGATGTCCCAACCTCAGGACTGCTCATAGGAGTTGTATCTACCGCTCTAATCGAATCTAACGACCTGTTTTTGTCATTTGCAGATGCTAATTCTGGCCCAGTTGGTAAAGCAAACTCTTTCATTGCATCCTTTGTTGGTGAACCGACCAAGTTCAAGCGCAAAACTTTTGCCTGAGAACGCTTTATTGCAACAATGTTACATTGTAGCTCATCTATGCACCGTTTCTCTTCGTGCTTAAGGTGCCTGTAAAAAGAACCATTTCAACCACACAAAGAGAGAGAGTAAAAACCTTACTAATTAGTTGAAGAATGAAATCATAGATTGTATACTTACTTATCAAGAACTACCCAATTTGCTTGCAATTCCTTGGCCACAGAAGCAACAGCTCCACATGGTGATCCAGAAACAATCTTGATCCTGACATTTACCTTTCAAAGAAACAAACTTTAATGATGTTTCAGAATCTCATTATCTTGATGCTAGGCTAAGTAAGTTATATACCTTGTTTGGATCATAGACACCATGAAGCTGGAGAATCATTTGGGAACAAGTATCAGTGAGATCACTCTTTATCTCAGGAATTGCATCAGAATGCGATTTCCGATGTCGACTCCCACAATCTCCAGAAAACCTCGGGAAAGTCCATAGCTTTCGACCTAAGAATTCCATCATAAAAGACCAAATAAACAAACAAGAAATAACGAATTAAACAGAGCAAATGAAATCTCCACCAAAGAAGAATAAAGTACCAGCATTGTGAGAAGTGACAACAACAATCAGAGTGATGCAATCTCCAGGATGAACAATATGAGTCAAAGCCCAAACCAATGCTGTCTTTGAAATCTCCCTAGATGCTTTAACAGCAACGAGAACCTTATCAGTCCCATTAGAACCTGGTTTCTTTTCCTGTTTCCCACGGATCATTGATGGCACAAATGCAAGATCAAATTCTCTAGATTCCTCTCACCCCCAAGAAGATTATTAACTCTCTAGCTGATCCTCAGAGATTTTGTTGCTTCCAGGAGATATGATTGCATTATTAGGCCAAGTTGGAGAACAAGACAAGACCAAACCAAACACACTGCTTGTGTTGCAGATGGATACAAAACTCATAGACAGGACAAGACCTCTCACTCACTACTCTTTTTTCTCACTAAATCACATAAACTTCAAAACACAAAACACCAAACCCTGAACCAAAAAAAGCCCCTCTTTTGAGATTCCAGACCAGATTTTGGGGGAAAATTTAAATCCAAAAATCCTTGTACCCTTTCGATGAAGAACAAAAATAAGTCTTTAGGAAGTGAAAATCACCCAAGGGTCCAAAGAGATACATACACTTTAGCTCTCTATCCACTCAATCTACTCCCCTATTGTCAAATCACTGAGTCAATGTTTCTCATGAAACAGACAGAAGAAATGAAGCCAAATGCTTTTTAGGATCTAACCCTTTCAACAAGACAAAGGGCCAAACAAAAAATCAAGGTTCTCTGCTTCGATCCACAGTCATCAGAATCTGCCAAATCTTCAAAATCACACCTACAATAAGAGAATGAAATAAATGTTTTACTTTTTTGAAACGGAAAATTTAAAGAAACTGCCAAAAAACTATCATATAGACTAACTTTTGCAGACCAATATAGGAATAGAAGGAGATCGATAAATTAAATTAATTCTTTTCATAAATACACAAAACCACTAAGAGTCGGATAACTAAACATATATGATATATTATCAACAATCATGGGTATATAATATGTACAACCTGCATCACAATGCCATGATCATTATTATTACGAAATTCCTCACCACGCTAAGCATTCATATATTTTACCGCCATGAAAACGAGCAAGAGATCGGAAAGAAGAAGACAGAGGAAGCATTGATTTCGCAATGTCTTGTCTGAATTGAAAGTTTTCTGCTTTTAACATCAATAGCACGTTTTTAGAGATAGATACAAGACAGTGTATAAAATCCAGAGAAGAAGCAGCATTTATGCTGCTCAGATAGAAACAAGAAGAAAAGCGCGAAAATGAAATTGCGAAATCAGCTTTTAGGGTTCTTTATTTATCGGCACAGTCAGATAGGAAAAAAGTAAAAACCCCTTAAACCAACTGTGTGTGTGTTACTGTTAACTGTCAAGTAATACTACAAATTACAAAGGTTATCTTTCTAATTAAAAAGTCATTTTATTTTAATTCTCTCATTCCCAGTATTTTCTTTCATTTCAGTGATTAATCCTCTTTTTATGAAGTATTAAAAACAAAACTATGAGATTGATAGGTTTTTCGCTTGTCTATAAAAGGGCGGTTAAAAAAAGAAAATTCCATGAATTAACAAACTTTGTTTCGCTTGTCGTCTGATACAACAACCTATGTTTCAAAAACACCACATTCACACTTTTAAGTTTTTAACCCCCCAATCCAGGTTTTTTTATTATGGCTTTTTTTTTTGTTACAGAATGAAAAATAGTTGGAATTTATTATATAATTTGTAGTTTAACAAAAAAAACACCACATTCACACTTTTAAGTTTTTAACCCCCCAAACCAGGTTTTTTTATGGCTTTTTTTTTTGTTACAAGAATGAAAAATAGTTGGAATTTTATTATATAATTTGTAGTTTAACAAAAAATATATACATTTTGTAGTTGTGTCATTGTCTCATTGGACCATAATACGCTGCGTTTCTCTGGACTAGTCAGTCACCTCCGCTGATAAATAGTTCCGGCTGTCATCAATCTCTGTCTCGTCTTGTCGCACTTCTTGATAAGCGCTTATTAAATGAAAAAACCATTTTAATTAAGAAAATTACAAATCAAACAACCAGATACGACAGCGTATTAGTGGCGGCTGTCTGCTTGGGCAATGTGCCATGCTGCCATTGATTTTTTTGTAGTTGTACGTGACAAACAACAAATAACACAACGAATAAGCCTCGATCACCGGTGGTTATTCAAAATCACACTCTGTAAAAAGATAAAGTTTTAGTGATTAGTTTTAGTATGTGTTTGTGCCCATATTCATTCAGTTTTGAATTGTTTGGAACCCTTGTTTTTGCTAAAACCACATTTAAGCAAAACGTAATTTTTAACAATTTTTTCCTGGGGGTTTTACACTCTCTTTCATCATTTAGAGAAAGAAATAATATATATATATTTTTGGACTCGAGTCTCGGGTATACATTTTTTTTTTGTTCACATTCCCTTCTCTTATTAGGTACATTTTTTTTTTGTTCACATTCTCTTCTCTTATTAGGTTGATGAGACAATGTGTGAACTGTATTTTGTGAGCAAAAACAAAATCCCATTTTTCAATTGTTTCTCTGCATTGCGTCTGCATTTTACATATTATTATAGAATAAGAAAACACAAACACAGACGTAGCTGCGCTTGACCGGTTAGCCACCGGAAAGTGATTCGACTAATTACAACAATTTCACGATAATACAAACAGCTAAACATCCAGACTACACAAATGATTTGTGTACAACAATTAAACATCCACACTACACAAACCGGCTAACCATTTACAACAAATACTCACACATCCATACATTTATTCTACACTCACTCATTGCACAGTTTCCCTTTTATTACAATAATCCGATTAGATCAAGTCCACTTACAATTTACTATTTACCTTACAATCAAATGGAGAAACATGCTGGAAAAACGATTAAATGGCAGAGGTTTCAAGATCAAGGAACTTTATTCAAAACCACAAAGGCATAAACAGTTCATAAAAAAGCATGATTTCGCAGACAAAACAAAACAAGAGTTAGTTTTTTGGTGTAAAGCTTTCACCTTTTTCTGTTAACGCAGCAGATTTAATCAGAAATACAAGCGCGAGAAATAATTAAAAACTCAGATGCATCAAACACCAAAACAGAGTAAAGAAACAAGAGAGAATTAATAGCTTATGTATCTATTAGAGAAAGGGATCCCATTAGTGAAATCTTAAGAATATCAACTCTTTTACAAAAAAAAGGAGAAATCTTCAAATTACAGATGAATCGAACGACAAAACAGAGTAAAAGAATCAAGAGGGGAAAACATTCGATTGATTTGGAAATCTTACATAATTTAGACAAATAGAAAACCAAAACAGAGTTTGAGAAACAAGGGAAAATATAAGATAATGAGCACACATAAAACAAATTTAAATGAATCGAATGAAAAAACAGAGTAAGAGAATCAAGAGGGAAAGTTGGTCCAACAAAAGATTCCATTGATTTCGAAATCTTACAAAATTCAGATGAATAGAAACCAAAACAGAGTTTAGAAACAAGCGCAAGAGATGAGATTATGAGTAAAGCTTAAACAAATTCAGGTGAATCGAATGACAAAACAGAGTTAGAGAATCGAGAGGGAAAGATTCCAATAATTTCGAAATAATACAAAATTCTGATGAATAGAAAACCAAAACAGAGTTTAAAAAACAAGAGAAAAATATAAGATTATGAATTTATGAGCATACCTTAAAAAATTCAGATGAATAGAACACAGAGATCGAGAAGAGAGGAAGATTCGATTATGAGGTTAACTTGAATTAGTTCCCCAACTCGAAGAATGTTTTGTAAAAATGTTTGCTTATTTCTACTGAAAGAATGAGAAGAATTCTGTGATGAAAGAAGAATTCTATGATGAAAGAAGAATTCTGTGGTGAAGCCCTATGATATTATTATTTTCTACGATGCAGAGAAATTGAGAAGACTTAACCCATTATTTATAGAATTGGTTTCGACATCTAGCCGTTTAGCTTTGAAGTCCATGTTACCGTTATAAAAGTTTACCGTTTGAAGTTTTCAACGGCTACTTTCTGAATCTCGGGGTGAAGCAGAGAAGGAGAAGAAGAAGCCACGTCATCGAGGAAAACGGTAACAATGATATGTAGTAGATTACTAAGTTACCCTTTTAACTTTAGTTTAGGCTAGTGGCTAATAATTGATACGGCGTCGTTCAACGACCTCCCCTTCCCCTTGTTGGATAGTCCAGGGGTTGGGTTGACCCGACCCGTAAATATCCCCAGAAAACAGAAAGAAAGAAGCAATTTAAACCCTAAGTTGTCCGATCTCAATCTGATTTCTCCGACTCCTTCCAATGTCGTCCTTGAAAGTCTGCAGATTATCATCTAAGATACATTCTTTAACCCAGAAGTTTAGCAAGACGAATGTTCACGTCTCGTCCTTACCCTCTCCCATTAAATCTTCATCTCCATCCTCAGCAACTAGCCGTATCAATCGATCTTGTAGGTCAGTTTTTGTTTTTTCAGGAATTTCACCGTCATTGGAGAAAACCCACTTGTTTCCTTTGAAAAATATTATATTTTTTTCTTCCAATCGTTATCGGTGGTTGCGTTTTTAACGCAATCAATAAGCTTTCTTTAGTTTTGCTGGAAATTACTACAAATGGGTTCAAACCTTTTGGGAAATCTATTGGTGTGAGTTGTGATCATGAAGTTGTTGACTGTTCTGGTTTTATCATAATCTCAAATTCAGCTGCGAACTTATCCTTTGACTGGAATTTAAGATTTTGAATTGATTTTGACAGATTACCAGTGGAGATGAGTAGCTGCGTATCGCTGTTTCCGCTACACAGTGCTATAGCATCTGCCAGATTGGTATCAAGCTTGTCTGTTGAATCTAACAGCTGGGGTTTAGTTCCTCAAGGTCAGTCTTTTTCTTTTCCCCTCTGTATTAATATTCCTACTGTGTTTAAGAAAATAAATGATTATCATTCTGTTTGTTTTGGATTGAGGAATGATGATGACTTGTTACATTTGTATAGTTATTCACATTCTGTTTGTTTGTTGGTGTTGCAATTGCATCTTCTATATTAGATGATGTCGTTTCCTCCCTCGTATGCCAGTTTTATACATTTGGTGGGGTTCTATGACAATAAGTGTCATCTTAGTTCCAGTTTAATAAATCTGTTCTTGATAAGAAAGTATATGTTCAGCTGATAATTTAGCAGTACCAAGAGCCTGATAGATTATTGTGGCTTTGGTTGTCGTATGTTCAACCGATTTGTGAATCTGGTGAACTTGGCTCCTATCAAGCCTAGCTCTTGCGGTCTTGCCAACTTTTACATTCTTTGTTACTTGTCATGAAAAAGTCTACTTTTGATTGAAACGTGTTGTCCTTGTTGGCCTATGGTTATGCATGTAAGTAGCAGCTTTAGTTTCATGATCGCAACCTGAATCTGTATTATACTTTAGTACTTGGTCTATGGACTCAGGCATCACTTTTTTTTTATCTCATGAAAGCTATATTTGATATGGACTTTACTCAATGTGTTTACAGATGTAACATTTCTATCTGAAATTGCAGGTATTTCGATGCCTTTATGACAGTGTTTCCATCTTACAACGAGTTTCCGGGAGGATAAAGACATGAAAACAAAACTCGGGCTGTATCGTTTCTTTTCATCTCCTATTGAATCCGTAAGGTCCTGAATTTAGGATAAGTTTATCCTCAAACTCTCTGCTTGAATTCTCAGTTTTTGAGTTGTCTTTTCGGCTAATATGCATTTCATGGTTGTGACTTCCAGCAATTGAGTCATAGATCATTGTATTGTTGCTGGGAAGATTATAGTTTTCATGCAATGTCTCATCTTAACGAAATGAGTCATAGATCATCAGACCCTTCTTCAAATAGACATGATTCAAAATATCGTGATAAGGAAATTTCGTTTCATTTATACCATTTTGTTTTTGTGGGGCAAGTCAAGGTTTTGAAAATACAAAGAATTGTTCATGCAAACAGAAATCAATTGAGCCTTTATGAGAGGAGATCAAAGCAAGTAAATGGGAAATGCTGATGGAACTAGAGAGTTTGAATCTAAATGTTGCCTTTGTCTTCTTCTTGGATGAGAATATGTCGGAGGAAGTGGAGATTATCAGAAACGCTAAAGCTTGGATTCTCACAAACCATTGCAGCGTTCGCCAACATTTCCGTCCACGTAGACATTTTTTTGTTTAATGGTTTAGCGCGTTTAACAAATACACAATGAAGCAAATTCAAGAATATAAAGGGATGAAATAGTGTAGACGTATTGTATTTGAAGCTTTTTCATGATAAATCGTACGTTTTTCCAATTACTTAAAACAAGCATGTGCTCTGGGTTTTAGATTAAAAGTGGTGCGTGTTTGAAGCTTAAAAAGATCAAAAGAAGCAACTTTTTAATTAAGAAATTAACAACAAGGCTGAAAACTAATTATAAAAATATGAGGAAGCATAAAAGCTTTACTTGGATATATTCTTGGTTTATGAGAGGAGCACGATGACTTAAAGAAGAAACCCTATAGTTTAAGGAAACACTTTGGCTTTGATTGGTAACTTTGCGGAATGGCGGAATTGTGGAAAAAATATTGTGGAATAGATTAAGCGATTTATAAGTCGCTTTTCTGTGAGATGACTTTTCCTTTGTATTTTTGTTAAGCAAAAACGCAGTCTGCATTTTTGTGTGTATTTTTTCATTACGCGGATTACGCGGATTTTTGTTGATTGGCAAAAAACTTGCGGAATTGTGTTTAAAAACGCAATTCTACCATTCCGCAGGTTACCAATCAGAGCCTTTGGCTTAAAGAAGAAGCAAGATGGCTTAGATTTAGAAGTTCATAATAAACTTAACAACTTTAACAAAAAAAAAAACAACCAAAACAGAAACGGATCATTGTTTGCTCTGATACGGTGATACCATGATAGAGTAATGAGAATTTATGATGGCAAGAATATTTACTTCTTCCATGTATATACTTTTCTTGTATACATAGTAAAGAGAATAGCTAGAATAATTACAAAGATTGAGACAGTGATGACAAACATATTTATAATTCCCTCTTTTAAAAGAGATATAAATTACCCTGGACCCTATCCTCTTTATTTGGAAAAAGATGTCATGTAATACTTATATGAATTTCTACTTGGTAGATACCCCAATTATTAATTAATATGGATGTTTACTTAAGTTATCATAAGCTAACTTATGAATTATGATAACCTAGATTTCTTGTGGATGTTTTAATACAAATCATTAAAGTCCACATGCTCATGTATTCCTAAGTTCATTTAATTAAGTTTCTAAAAAGAAAAATTCACATACATATTACGTATTATATGTAAGTGTATTGAACATCAATAAGATAACTTAGGGTTGCCGACGGTGTAATTTTCATTTCCTCTTTTCATATCAATCATACAATCATTTTTATTATAGTGTTCTTCATTTAGTTTTCTCTATGAACTATGTGAATTTTTATCTTGATAACGATAGAACAAAAAGCTATATGTCATTGTTTTGAAACTTCGAGGACTTGTGTTTAAAAAAAACATGGAGGATACGGGAGGAAAAAGAGAGAAGATACATGTTTCTTGCAAGGCGAAGTTACTTCATTGAGTTAAAAGTCTTCTGAAAAGTCAAAGAAACTATAAGCAATGATATCATTAAAGACATTTACCGATTACAACTGCTGGACAAATCATTGTTTAGCGATTACCTTAGACAAATTAAATACCAAAAAGAAATGGGAATGAAGTAAATAGCATAGGAGTATATAATTCTTATTTCGCTTAGTTGTCAAAGTCATAATATGCCCTTCGAATTGTTGTACCGAACACGTCAGAATGTCGGTCCAAAACCACAAGGAACATACATATAAAGTGAAATCTATTATCAAAAAAAAATTCCAAATGTTAGCCCAAAAGAAAAAGAAAGAAAAAATCAAAATCTTTTCGTGAGGAAACAAATATCAATATTATTAAATTTAAATAAACGACAATACTACTCCCACAACGTCCACCGCACACACCATATAGGCATAATAAATATTAAAAAACCGTTTTATTATTACCTCGTAAACTAAATATAAAAAAAAATACGACAAAAACATCAATAATGCAAAACATAACAACTATACTCAACAGTAGCATCACCGTTCTTGAGATTAAACCACTTTGTTCGAGCCTCGACATAGCCTCTAGCAAATCGGAAAAGACCGCTTCCTCCGACGATCGGCATTTCTCTGACCTCCGACATCGCCGTATTCCGACCAAGAATCGTGATAGTGCTTCCGTTGTATTTCCCTGTCTTAAAAGCAAAATTCATAGCCATTAGAAAACCCAACTCCTTTTGGGCCGCTCCAGCGTAAAAGCCTTGGGCCTGGCCCAACACAGTTGAGTTCATCGGAACTTTCGCCGTCAAAGCGTTGTCGATCATAGAGATTGCTCCGAAGTAGGAAGTGTTTGTAACCGGTGGCTGGATCATAATGGAGGTTGGGTTTGGACCGCTTAAGATGTCGTGCCAATAGACTTTGAAATGGGTTAGTTTCTCTTTCTTGTGTAGACCAAGGAGTTTCCGATCTATGGTTCTGGCGAAGTTTTCTCCGTCGTCTCTGGTTGAGGAAACGGCGGCGAGGAGAAGGATTTGGACGGCGAGGAAGAAAATGAGCTTAGCCATGTGTTTGTTTGTGGTTTTGGTTACTATGGATAGGTTTGTTTATATAAAGGAATGTGTAAAACAAGAAGGTGTGTGATGTTATTTATACATGTCGAGTTTTTTACTCATCTTTCTAGAGGGAATGGTTTTATACTATTATTTATTTTTTTGGATTCCTTTGATGTTGTGGATTGGTTAAAGCACATTGACTAGCGACTGGGGAAATTTTTAAATTATTTATGAAACTAAAATTCAAAATAAGTGGGGAAAGTTGATGTGTATTGTGAGGCGTGTGAAGTGGTAGCTATCCTAATCATTGCGTCATCGAGTCGTATGTTTTACGGTGAAGTCATACTCAAAAAACTTTTGTCATTTAAAAAAAAAAACAGAAAAATAAATTAAATCATTTTCGGATTCATTTAATAGTTTTCTAAATCAAATTGGTAGTGTCATGTTTTTTCTCTTTTTCGTGAGAAAGTTTATATTATCGATTATTATCATTGATCGATAATTAAACTTTAAATAATACATTTGAAATTTGTTTAGAGTAGTTATTTGAAATGTTCAACATCAAATTTCACTTGGCTAGATCTGGTTAGATCTATTATTTATAATCACTGTTTTTTACCGTACCAAAAATCTAAAAATCTGTATACTTTTCAGATTATGCCAATATTTTTTCTTTAAGCATGATATATCTTATAACATTTTCGGAATTTCGAATCATTTATGACTTACAGTATCATGGATTAGTAAATTTAAAATGTTACTACTATATATTATTTGGTTCTTTTAGGTGGCATGGCATCAAACACATTTTCTTTTCACTTTTGCTTTATATCGCTTTCTCTTTGTTTATTCGAAAAGGTTTTCATCCCATTCCCTTTTTTATATATACAGTATAGCGAAATTTTAGTGGCATTCCTTTTTTGTCCAATTATGAACCCTTTAATACGTAATTTTGACCAAAAAAAAAAAATTAAGTAATATAAAGTGTTTATTGAAAAATAAAATTAAAATGAATTTGAAGCGGTAAGAAATAGGAACTGGTGTCTACAGGAAGCACGTTTTGATTCTAAGCGACTTAATGCTATGATCTATGTTAGTTTCAAGGACTTGAAATCCGTTGAAAAGTTTTACATTCAACTATTGTTAACTTACTTCTTCAAAATAACTCCTATACGATGGGAGTAATTTCAAAGTTACCATCGCCACACAATGCAAAATCGTCTTATCTTAGTCTCGTTGAAGGATCCGATTGCTTCTCTATTTCTCCTTAAACTTTAAATTATATCTCAGTTGTTTCATGCCTCCCTTGTAACTTTTTTGTTTCTGTTTTGGTAACTAATCTTCTAATTGGAGAGCTAATGGTTAGGTGTATATTAGTATAAAAACTTTTATTTGGTATAAATTCAACATTAAAACAAACACAAAAAGGTAATGAATTTGTCGTAGTTCACCTACCAACCTAACAGTATGGCAGTATCAGCAACATGGCAGTATGCAACTCATGTGTCGGTAGAAGCGTTTTTTTCTTAATTGTATTTAGTGTAATAAAAAGAAAAAGAAGAGATTCTGGTTTTAGTTATGTGTTTTTTTCTGACTTACTTTCTTAATCCGTTCATTAGGAAACACACACACACATAATACACGTTAGGAGCAAAAAAAAAAGAAAAATTACAGTGTATGAATTCGCATATAGTTTATTTGTGAATAACGTTCTTGACTTGAAAAAAAAAATGTTATTGACTTTAGGGGCGTGCCTGACTTCATCAGAAATCCCATTGCGTGGGCCCGTCGTTTACTCCATTCCGTACGTTTATATATAGTCCACAAAAAATTGGGGGAAAAAACTGTAGATAGTCTATGTTTTTTGTCACGTTTGTGGATTGATTAATACAAATATAATTGTAGTAAAGCATATGGGATATGTTAAATACAAGATGCAAATTCCTCTTTGATGTCTCTTTCGTGAGATCGACGTTAGAAAAAACACACTTATTGGACACAATAATGACTGTTTGTGGTCCAATTCCATATATAGAATATCTAATTTCCCATCAGCTGAACTTTTATATTAGCGATAATAATTTTAATAACATCAAATTTACGTTTGGTATGAAAGCTACAAATCAAATTTCTAATGACTAACGAATGCATGATGAAACCGCAAATATATTGTATAAGACATAGCTGTAAGTTCATGATCAGAATATAACACGACTAATCAAATAGCCTAAAGTATTCAACAAGCTGGAATTGTTGTATTTTTCATGTTGACTTTTGAGGAATGTTAGTCTAGAAGCATTGACTTGTGAGTCGTCGGATATCGTAAGCTATTTCGGAAAGTCACAAACATTTCACATTAGAGATCATAAACAGTTTGAGTAGGTGTATGTATTAATTTGGACCAGTTAGACAAACCATATTTTTTAATATAACTTTGTAGTTTTACTCTTAGAAATTTATACTCTGGTAACTTTTAAGAAAAGAAAAACATATACAAGGATTTGCAAATATCTCATTATTGTATCATATTTTTTGTCAATTGAATTACACCAAATTCTAATATTCATATATAAGATCAGTCATCTAATACATGATCTCAACTGAACTTTAATTTATTTGAGAAAAATTGATCTAAAATTACATAGTCTTTTGAAACCCAATCCAAATAACCAAACAATAAACTTCCCCGCTAGGTAATTAATATGTCAATGTAGATGTTCAGCCATATTTTTTTTTGAAGTATCTTATAATAAATATAACTAGATTAATCATTACTTGATCATATCGATATTTTTGATCGAAAGCTAAACGCGCGCATTGTTGGTCGAGAAACAAATGACCACACTGTTGAGAGATGAAGAAACTATATTATTCACGACTAAGCATGTAGGGTTTGTGAAAGTTCGTCTAAAAAAATGAAAATGTTGTGATTAGATTTAAAATCCAATGTGTTTATGGATCTGACTTCTGAGTCATGTGGTTGTCTAGTTGGTGAAATGGAGAAGATGAAACTCGCGTGAGGCCAACATGAAAGTCGCTTGAATCATTTTGGGATCAATAACAATATGCCAGAAGTTTAGGAACTCAAAAATATCCTTGTGTTACACGATAAGCTAGCAATTTTCGGTTACAATTTCGCCGACAACAATCATGATCGTCCACCCAACTTCCGTTAGCTATTCAGTACAAAAAAAAATTATACGCATAAATACATGTATTTATATTCTTCTAAAAATTATACGCATAACTATACAATCATCACAAATAAAATTGTGGCTCTTTTTAATTAGTCACGAAAAAGCCACATATTTTGATGACATATTTCTTATATGAGTTATACTTCTTTTTTTTTGGGTCAAGAGATGAGTTATACTTTTATTTCTCTTTCAATAGTTAACATCTAGTTAACGTAAACTTAGAATTAAGGGTCTACATGATCGTTTTCAACATCTGAAGATGAGAGTTCTAGTTAAGAAGACAAAAATTCATTAAAATTTTTATTGTGTTCTTATTGACATGGACATTTAAATTTGATGTGTAATCAATCATGTTGCTCTCTTCTTTTCGGCATGGAAATTTAATATGATGTGTAATAAAACCATGTTGCTCACGATCTGTTATCTTAGCGTACTCTTGTCTAAATGAATTATTCATCAGAAAAATTATTATTAACAAATAACCCTCGTGGCTCGTGGACACTTTTAATTCATTCCCAACTCATTAGTTTCAACCCATTCGTGATTCGTGAATAGTTCTTGTTTAAGATCAAAGTTTTAAATCTCTCTCTCTCTGACTCTAGCTAGAGACAAACTAGAAAAAAGGTTAAAGCACAAAACCCACAACATGGATTCACCTTTCGGACATGTTGGTATAGGTTTCTTGTTAATTGGTTTATGGCACTTATTCAACAACATAAAAGAATTTTGTCTCAATCCAAACACATTTTCTTCATCACCATGGTTCCCATCTTCCAAGCTCAGATACTTAGAGCTTTACTCAATCATGGTCTCCTTATCAATCATGATAGTCGGACAACTCTTCATTAGACCCATGAGACACCATCCCTTTGACCTTGATGGCACCATCCCATCGAGCCATCTCCATAGTTTTGAACATGTCTCCATCTCTATGTCCTTCATAATCGATCTATGCCATTTTTCGCAATAGTTTTTGATCGAGCACGGCCTTGAGCAGCCACAACCACTAAGGGACTGGCGTTTTTTGCTTCAGCTGCTGCATTTGCGCAGCAAATATTTCTCTTCCATCTTCACTCGGCTGACCACATGGCCATCGAGAGACTATACCATTTTCCCTTCCAGTTTGTCATATTCTTTTCTCTAATCACCACTCTCACTACAAAAAAAAGCATGTATTGTATCACTTAATTTGTATCACAATTCTAACTGATATTAGTTTAAATTACTTATTTGTAAATGAAACAAATATACATAGTGTGGCATCATTTATAATAACTGATACTATAATTAAATATTTTACATCACTTATTTTTTATTGATACGATTTTACATCAGTTAATTTTAATTGATACGATTTATATTGGTTAGTATCAATTCAACAAAATTGATGGTAAATATTTTATTTACATCAATTAGATAATTGATACATTTATTTATTTTTATTAACATCACTTATAAAAATAATACAAATTTTAAATCATTCCCATGGCTGTGATAGATAAATTAGCTGATTTACTCCCATATTCCCACATTGACCAAATAGCTAAGAAAAAGGTGAAAAAATGTCTATATAAGATCTAATGAGTATTGCTATGCCCAAGTGTTTTATCACGAGCTTTGTGAGATCATCAAGCATAGCCTTTCAAGGAGTGTGGTTTGTAGTCATGGGTTTCATGCTTTGCCCACCAAGTTTGATCCCTATAGGTTGTTTTTTCCACGTAGAAAAATATCGTGAAATGGTTAGGTGTTCTAGCCAAGAGGTTTTACATAGGGCTAAGTCACTGATCAACATCGAATTCAGCTGGTTATTTGTTGTATTTACAATATTTATCATGACACTGTATTTGATTCTTGCTGGTGTTTACGGCCGGTGACAAAGTCAAATACACGAGTCTAACCAACAAAGACCAAACAGAAGAGGATGGTGACGAAGAACAAGAATCCAAATCGTTGAAGAAGATAAGTAATCCATGTTTTGTTTAAATGGGTAAACTCAATAATAGTCATCAAGACAAAATATGAAAATGTTATAATGTGAGAGTTCGGACCTATTAAACCTGTTTTTTTTTTTTGTTTTGAAAAACTGGTATGTGACGGTACTTTATAGTTAATGCATGTGATTGAGTTAAGAAATTTAAAAATGGGAAATTTTTGTTAGTGAGTAAATGTATTTTTGCATAGTATCTGGATTTGAAAAAGTATGATACATGCGTGAGCGTGACGTGCATACAATCATAAGACAAACGCTCATAGGCTCATAGCCTTAATCAAGTAATGAAGAAATAAAAGCAATTTCGTAAATACGTATTTGTTATTTTTCGATTCACCCATTCACTCAGAATTATATTCCAATTGGATATTATTCCCAAAGCTAGAAAAGCAAATACGTATCGTAATTGTAGGTTATCTGGCCATAAGGTTCAGTTGCGCTTGGAATGTTTTTTTTTTTTTTTTTTTTTTTTTTTTTTTGGAAATGAAAAGGCTAAAACTAGAATGAGACAAAAACACGTGTGAAGCAACCAAAAGTTTTGGGGAGGAATCGAGGATCAGATTTGGATGAAACGATACCATGAAGAAATGAAGCTCTCGTAACCGTTAGAAACAGCTGAGCCTGACTGAGCAAGATTGAGCAGTGTAACCCGATCCAGACTGGCAAGCTTAGCCCGAATTTGAAGCTGGATTTCCTTAATCAAAGCTGGCGCTTGTTTAAAGATCCCGGAATGGAGACGTGCATTTCTTTCCTTCCAGATGAAATAAGCAACCGCTTGGAAGATGATCTTGCAAATGCCGTTCAGGTTCGCATGAGAAGAAGGAGATTTAACCCAGTTCACAATAGCCTCTAAGGAGGAAGGAGACGATAAAGAATGATGCGAGAAGAAAGCCTGCCAAACCTGTGTTGAATAAATACACTCGAAGAAGATATGAGAGGATGATTCTGGAGACGCGTCGCAAAGAAGACACTCACTAGGAACATTTAAACCCCAGCCACGAAGACGATCGCGAGAAGGAAGCCTCTTTCGAAGAATTACCCATAAGAGGAAAGCATGTTTGGGAATCCTTGCTTTAAACCATACAACAGAAAACCAGTCCACAGGAGGAGCCGGAGGATGGAGGTAGAGCCAAGTCTTTTGAGTAGAGAATCTTCCAGGCGGCTCGGTTAATGAGTTCCTCCAAAGGTAAAAATCTGGTTCAGATGAATTCGGATCAGGTGTAACTAAAGGGAGGCATCCACGAAGAAGGACCAAGATAGGATGTCTTCCTTGGGATAAAGACCAAGAACCATTAGAGACTGCACTTGAGACCGAGGCTAAGGAAGAGATCCCAGTGACACGTGGCCCATTCGCCCCGGTGATATCGATTAGAGGCCCTAACGATGTCCAATCATCGTGCCAAAAGAGAGCCGAAAGACCATTCCGAACTTGGCAAGAGAGAAAAGGTCTGGCATATCTCGCAGTTTCATTACCCGCCGCCAAATCCAACTGCCTACGTGCTGGAAATCTGAAAACCAAAAAAGCCTGGCCCTGGAAAATTCTCTTCTTTACCCAGGCAACCCAAAAAGAACCATTTGAAGAAAATAAAAGCCAAATCAGTTTCAAACCATACACTTGGTTCGAATCTTGAAGCTTTTTCAAACCCATCCTCCCGATTTTTCAGAGTACAAACTGAATCCCATCCAACTTTTGCTCCTCTTGCAGAGTTTGGAGCACCATTCCAAAGGAACGCATTACAGATCCTCTCAAGGGTTTTAATACATCCTTGAGGCAATGGAAAAACCGCAGCCCAAAAGTTAATAATGCTGTATAAAACTGATTGGATTAACTGCAATCTCCCGGCGAAAGATAATCGTTTCACAGTCCAAACAGATATACGAGAAAGAACCCTATCAATAAGCAGCTGATAATGTTGAGCTTTAAGCTTATGGGGCATCAATGGAAGGCCTAAGTAGCGAACCGGAAGAGACCCTTGTACCATGCCAAACCGACCTGCAAGCTCTCTAGATAAATCCAAATTGTTCCCATCAACAAATAAACAATTTGGATTTCTAAGAAGTGTGATTTTCAGGGCTCATTAAACTTATGGGCTTAGAAGTGTGATTTTAATCTAATTAAAAAGAAAGACAAAAGCATCATTTAGTCAAAAGACTTAGAGCCAAACACAAACTCCTTAATCCCAATCCGATTCGTCATCCCTTACTTCATCAGGGTCAAAGCTTTTCCAAAAAGAATCCTCTAGACCCTTTTCAAAAATCCGCTCTTATTAAACCCATTAAGAGCACTACTCAGCCTTAATTCCCTCTTTCGCTCTCTCTATAAACACGAAACTAAAGATTAAGATATATAGACATTAGAAAAAAAAGAGAAAAGAAAAAAAGAAAAAGACATAAAGCCAATACACAAAGGAACTCTTGTGGGAAATGTCGCACCAGGGTTTGCCTTCTTTACACTTGGTCTTGGCGTCTAGCTATGTCACTTATTCAAACAACATATTTTTTTGTTTGCTACGAAATATTCAAACAATATATATTCAAACTTATTAATAGGATGTATAATATAATAAAATAATTGTTTGTTTGAAATGGTCAACTATTCTATCAAGATATAAATACAAAAATCAACTATTAAATATCAATCTATACAAAAGAAGTAAAAATAGTGAATATAATATAAATTAGTACGAATTTTTAATTTTATAACGCATTACGAATTTTATATTAATACAAATATAAATAAATCAGGAAAAAGACAAAAAAAAGGATGATCAAGAGACAACGAAGTATGTATTTTTGACGTGTCATAAGGAATATAAAAGTTTGATAAGACCATTTCCAACAGTGAGATACTCTTAAGAGTTTCTCATCAAATATAATATTATTACTTTTATATAATTTAATTAATTAATTAAATTTTAAATGGTAAAACTAAATTCAGCCAATAAAAAAGTGGCACATCCTAACAAGAGTATTTAAGCAACTTTTTTTGTTGGGGTTCTGAAATGAAAACGTAAAGAACAGATTCTCTTTCTCTCTCATCTCTTTTTTATTTTCTTCTATTTTTTTAATAATTAGATACCTTCTTAAATACTGCTAATGGAGGTGGTCTAAGTAAAAATAAACTGATGCTATATGGATTGTCAATAAATGTCCGGATTTTTATGTATTATATAAAATAAGTGAGTATATGTATGTTTATATGTATATATATATATTATTTAATTTGAAAGAGAAGGAAGTGAGAAAGGGACGAGAGGTAAGTGGGAGAGAGAAGATTGATGAAGAGTGTTTCTTATTTCACTCGTCTGAAAGTTGATTTCTTTACATAACATGAAGGTCTATTTATAGACCAAGAGAAAACTTATAATAATAAAAGTAAGTCGGTAAGAGTAAATATCTAAAAGTATAAGACGGTGAAAAAGTGATGAGGATAATTATCCTTTTTAACACGGATAATGTTTAGAATAGAATAGGGATGATTCTTTTTTTGTCGATAAAAAAAAGAGAGACGATTCTTTTATTTTCCTTATGGACATTAATCGCTGCTCGAAGACGTAAACTCGCATATGAGATCATGACAAAGTCCAATAAAAGTGGTGAATACAAAAAAAAAAAAGATAATTGTGGCCTTTTTTATATTTACTATTTAAGTTTTTAAATAATATTACTTCAACAATATATCTTAATTTGTATTCAAATACCTTTTAACAAAATCTTTTTTAGTGAAAACATAAGTTTGATTAACCAAATATATAGATTGTCATAAAACTAAAATTTGGTAGTCCTAAAACGAAAAAAAGGTATAGATAAAATAATTATATAGTTTTCTCTTCTCTCTCCTGAGCGGTGAAAAGTACGATTATAGGGTTTCGTTTTGCCTTTGGTCGGCCTCACGCCGCCGTTGAGAACTTCATCTTTCTCCCCCCTCTTTCATTTCTTGCCCTGAGTGATATGGTACTTTCCTGATTCCGAGAGTCTTCCTCCAGATCCCCCCTTTATCTCGGTAAATTCTTCCGATTCTCTTGTTCTGACTGTCCTCGATGCTTCATCTGTGGATTCTCCTTCATCGTCGGAGCGGGTGATTCAGTCTTCCAATGATTCCCCTTCGCCTGATGCGACCCTGCCAGTCAAGCCTCTCTCGGCGGTGACTAATTCCTCCTTTGTCCCCGCCTCCATTCCTCTAGCAAATGCTCCCTCGTACGCGATGCGATTTCAGGCCTCTCTTAGGAATATGCGCAAAATATCCTCACCGTCGTTCCAGGAAGATGGCACACCGGTAATCCAAGCTCCTCCGTCGATTCTTCTCCAAACAGCAGATCTATGGAAAGGACATATTGTCGCTCAGTTTCATGGTATCATTCCTCCTACAGCGAAAATTTATGCGGAACTCAACCCAGTTTGGGGAAAATTTGGTAACATCACGATTCGACCCACCTCAGATCGATCTTGTCTTATGTTCATCCCTTCTGAGCAAACTCGTCAGTGGGTGCTTGAGGTTGGATATTGGCAGGCGGGTTTCTGCTCCTTCTCTGTTCACCCGTGGTCAGCTGATGGAAGTCTGGAATTGTGTGAACTCCAAACTGCTCCGACTTGGGCAGTCCTGAAAAGCCTGCCCCCTCAGCTCTATTCTCTTGACGGAATTAGCCTCATCTCCAGTGCTGTGGGTGAGCCGCTGCATACCGAGAAGTCCAGACTCGATCCATATAGGTTTGGCGATACGAAGGTAAAGATTGAAATCTCTCTCGATAGCTCGCCTCCCGATGTGGTTGCACTACAAGAAAGATCGGGTTTTACGTCGGTATATATCGACGTAAAATCGACGTAAAAGAGCATTTACGTCGAATTAACGACGAAAAAAAAATCGTCGTAAAACGATCGTCGTAAAACCGAAATCATCGTAAAATCGTCGTAAAATTACCAACTCCGGAAAAGCGTCGTAAAATCGTCGGAAACTATTCGTCGTAAATGCGACGTAAAATTTCCAACGGAAGTACAACGAAAGAACTCCATCATAAGAACGACGTAAAATCGATGTAAAATTACATCGATTTAACAACGATTAGGAGACGAACAATTTCAATTAAGGGAAACTAATTTTTTAATTGTCGATGTTAAATCGTCGTAAATTTTCGACGTAAATCCGACATAAATTTACGACGAATTTACGTCGATTTATAAATTAATTATTTAATATGATTTTAATTTAATTAATGAATTTTGAAAATAATAAAAAATTAAAAATAGAAAAAAAACAATTTAAATTGAAATTTAAATTCAAAAATAATTTATAAATAAAAAAAATTTAATACAAATTGTTTTTTTACAAAAAAACCTAATCTACAATGTGATTTCGTAATCGTCGAGGTTCAGATCGACGTCACGAGGACGCTCTCCGTCTTGGCCGCCCGTTGCTGCTGGGCCGTCGTTTCCCGTCTGCACTACCGGAGCCGAAGACTGACCGCCCTGCATCTGCTGTAATGCGTCCTCCGTCGAGTCATCGTCTGCAAAACCGATAAATTAAATTTTATTTTTCAAGTTAATTACAATTAATTTTTAATTACGATCCTAAATCTAAGAAATTCCGATCCTAAATCTAACAAATTCCGAGTCTAAACTAATTCCCGACCTAAATCGTTTGAATTTCTAAACTATTTAATAATAAAATAATTTAAAGTAATTAACAAAAAAATTACCTTTTTTTGCGTCAAAAAGAGGAGGAATGCAAGAGAGGAGGAAGCAGAGAGAGAGGAAGGAGAGATAAGCGACGAAATGAGGAATGGGTGAGGTCCTATATATAGAATTTATATTCGTCGTAAATTCGACGTAACGATTACGACGAATTTACGACGAATCCGTCGTAAATTCGTCGCAAAGGTCCCACCGTATAACAAAGCGAATAAGACAAACACACGTGGCTGTATCTGGGCTTTGCGACGATTTTACGATGATCCGTGTTATTCGTCGTAAAACCGTCGTAATGTTACGACGATTTTACGACGAATCGTATAAATCATAAAAATTAAGACGGCTGTGTATCCACAAATCGTCGTAAATTCGTCGTAATATTACGACGAATTTACGACGAATTATACCAAAACTGATGAAATTCAAAAATTGAAACATCTATAAGCACATACAAGTATGTCTATTCATGATAAATGTGGTCTGTATAACTTTCTAGCATGTTTACATAACTTAATGAAAAATTTAGTAAGATGTAAGATAAATCCATACATCTTGTGTAAATGTATATAACACCTTAAGATTACTTGATAAACACATATATGTCAAATTTTGAAATTTTTTTTTTTTTGTTTAGAAAGTTGTTTTACCTAATGAGATGGTAAGCCATTTCATTCTTTTCATCAAAATCCCCCCTGAACCCCATAAAAGATTGATTATAAGATTTAGGGGTTACATTTCGTCGTAATCTCGATGGTATATTACGACGAAGTTACGACGATCACTCCCATTCGTCGTAAATTCGTCGTAATAAAAACCACATTTCTACAAGTTCCTGAACCTTATACTACAGACCCTTATATAATACATCAGTTTACTTAAGAAAATAAACCCAAAAACCATTCTGTAAGTTGGGAAAGCTAAACCCTATAGGGTTTAGGGTTTGCATTTTTCGACGAATTTACG